TCTCAAGGAGATAAACTGACACAGCAGCGGCAAGAATGGGCTTAAACCCAGCAAGGATGGCAAGGATGGCACAGGGCGGGCAGCGAGCGGCAAGTTTTTCTGTCCAAGGAAGGGACTCACCAGGACACTGAAGTGGCATCTTAATAATTGTCAAATGTTTTTTTATGATGCACTGGGTGATGGTTGGCAGAGCAGGTCAGTTTTCCACTCAGCAACGCTTTCCCACATTTTATTTCGTGCCAGGACTGCCCACCACCCACGGGTCCCTCCCCATGACCCTGACACCCCAGTCCCACTTCTGCCCCATGTTTCCTGTTTCTGCTCTTCCTCCTCTCCTCCCCCTGGGGTAAAGGCTGCCCCTTGGCTCTCATTTGGTTGATGTGTTTAGTCTGGGTTGACTAGAGAAATCCAGAGACACTCATGTGTGTGTAAGAAAGCGCTTTATAGACAAGCTCCACTGTGTATTGAGAAAACATCCTAGCCCAGTCCACATCAAGTCCATAAGTCCGATATTAGCCCATGGGTCTGATACCAATCTACAGATTCTTCTTCAGACTCACACAGCACATGCAACGACCCCGAATGCAGGAAGATCACAGTCCGGCGGGGGGCAAGTCTTGTGGATCCAGTGGCAGTGGAAGCATCTCAGCGCCGACGTGGGTCTCCACGTGGCTCCTTCAGCTCCAGGGCTCTGATGTAGTAGCTCCAAGTGTCTTATCGTCCGCAGGAATGTCTCGCAAGGAGTGAGAGTGTGTCCCGCCTCCAGAGAGCTATTTATCTCCTTAGCTCCCCCCCATGCGGCCATCAAGCTGCGACCTGATTGACAGGCTAGATTCCCCACCCCCACCAGTTGACACCAGATAGGGTAACAACCACAGTTGATTAGTCTAAACTGCATCTCCCCAGGGCTGTTGTCCCTTCCACAGACGCGTCCAGCGTCCATCGTTTGGCTGAAAAGCGATGTAGGGGAGTGAACTACGTTCTGGCCCCCACGGGTGACTATGGGCCATCGTCTGGGTACGCCACCCATCTCCATCGGTGTGGGGGAAAGGCCAGCCCCCCAGTTACTAATCACAGGTTTGATAGGCACAATTGTACGGTTGCGATCTATAAAGATTATATTAAAGTCATCGAGAGCATGAGAGATAGAAGAGATTGAAATAATGGAGTCAGACACATTTCATGGTAGCATGCTCACCTCAGCCCCGCGTGGTGGTCCACGCGGAGAGAGGGGGAGGGGAAGGAGGACAAGGGGAAAGGGAACAAGGGAGTGAGGACGGAAGAGGAGAGGGGGAACCGATGAGAGGCCAAGAGGGGAACCTGAGAAAGCTCTTTATTGGTAACTCAGGCCTATATACCTTTGGGGAGAGTGCAAGCCCACTAATTACAGGTAAAGACATACGTCACAGGAAGGGGTTGCACTACAGGTAATACAGCAATGAGAGGGGGACAATCTAGGGGTATACACACAATAGGAAGAGGAGGGATTGGGGGTATACATGTGACAAGAAGGGCGGATCAGGATGGCGCCCTAACTTTGGATGTCACTGAGCCTGTTTGACCTGTTCTCTGGCCCACCAGAGAAATCAGTATCAGTAGGGTGTAAACCCCACCTACAGGAACCAAGCTAATGGTCACAAGCCTTTAGGGAGAAGTAGCCCATTATCCTTAACAGCAGGAACTGGGCCTTACCTGTGGTGGGACCAGACAGTATTCTGGTAACGGACTGCCTTCAGGGAGGATGTCTCTAAGCAGCTGGCCTCCCACCCTATGCTGGCAAAATGCCTCTAATATTTGGCATGTCTTTGGGGGAGACAACGCTGGGGAAAAGTCTCTTTATCATCCCACACATCTGACCAGTAAGCTGGGTCTTATCTGTGACTTGGAGTTTTGTTCTGCATGGTTTTCCTTACCCGATCCAGGACCTTCTAATGGGATCCGTTCGGGAAAGGTTGGCAGCGGGGCACCATCTAGTTCTTCAGGTCTCAGGACAGTGGTGGCAACTGGATCAATCCTTTCCCGGCATCTTCTGTCGTCTTCACTCTGCTTTGCTTTGGATGCAGAGAGACCAAAGAGTGCCCCTCAGAAGGCCACTCATGAACTTTTAAGACCCCTAGCCACTACTCACCACGCAAGTAGGATGCAGCACCTTGTCTTTGGGGGCAGTGCGATTCCCAATTGACCTCGGTGTCCCCTGAGACCACTGTCCTGATCCCCCCCAGGTCCAGCGAGCATTCCCCTCCAGGTGTTTGGTGAGGTCTAAACCATTTTTTTTACCACTCTGCCTCCAGTGTGCTCCGCCACATTCATGGGTGTGTGTGCAGCAAAGGGAAATGTACCTGTACAAATATTCCGGCAAACGCGTCTCTGAGCGGGGGCTTCAAAAAAGTCCATGGACAAATTCCATGACCTTTTTATTCCATTTCCCCACAAACTTTGTTGCTCCCTGGTATGATTCTCGAAGGAGCCCTGGTGGGGTAGTGGGAGACCGGTGGGGCTTTCTACTCCCCTGAAGAGTGACCATCGTGGAAACCCACAGGGGCAGTTCTACCCTGTCCTACAAGGGTCGCCCCGAGTCAGCACCGGCTGGATGGCAGCGAGTTTGTTTTCGCTGTTGTTTGGTATGGTGTGGGCACTCTCCCTCTGCCACCCGTTCAGCCAGCATAACTGACTCACCCCCACCCCCACACACCTGCCATCCAATGGATGCTGACTCTCAGCGACCCTATGGGGCAATGCCATCCAATTTACAGTAGTCAAAGCCTCATCTTTCTCCTTCAGAACAGCTGGGGTTTTGACCTGCTGGTCAACGCATAACCCTTGAAAGTCACCTGGGCCTGGCTCAGAGGCCACCATTGTGGTGGGGCTGAGTTTGGAATGGAGGAACTCCGGGGATGTAGCAATCATGCAGTGGGCTGCTCACTGCAAGGTCAGCAGCTCGAGATGACCGGTGGTGCCGCAGGACAAAGATGAGACTTTCTACTTCCATAAAGAATCAGTCTGAGAATCCCACACGGGCAGTCTTACCTTGATCTAGAGACTCACGATGAGTTGGCATCACTCGGGGGCAGTGAGTTTGGGGGATTTTTTTTTTTTTATGTGTGTAAGAGTATTTGTCTCTGATGTCTTTAGCTCACACACTGCCCCCACCCACACCCACACACCCCGTGTCTTCCCAAGTACGGGGTGGGAAGGAAAAGGAGGTCAAATTCCCAGCGAGGGGGCATTCATCCCGTGCACTTTGGACACGCTGTCCGAGAGAAGGACTTCATGCTTGGTAACGTACAGAGCAAGACCCTCGACAAGATGGATTGGCGCAGTGGCTGCCACAATGGGCTCCAGCACTGGAGCCATTGTGCAGATGCCATCGCAGTGTCTCCTTCCGCTGGGCACCGGGTCAGAGCCGACTCAAGGCACTTAACCAGAGACAACAGCGGAGGGCAGACAGATTAACTAGTTCACTGGGGTAAAGGGGAAGGCTTGAGCAGGGCAAAGTGCAGCGCGCTCAAAAGCCCTCTCTCATTATCTCGGAATCGCAAAGATGGGGAAAGAATTGTGGTTCCTATCTGTCTTTCTGCCTTATCTCCACCAAAGTGGTCTACCCTTATCTCCCATCTATCCCTGCCAGGCAGGGGCCCTCCTGATATCTATTGCTTTTCTCACCCACTTAAAAAAATAATTATTAAAAAAAAAACCTTGCCTCTGCATTGATTCCAACTCATCGTGACCTGGGAGGAACCCTGGTGGTGTAGGGGCTGGGCCTTGGGCTGCTAACCTCAAGGTCAGCAGGTCGAAGCCACCTGGTCCCAGGCAGAAACAGACATGAGAGTTCCGTGTCCGGATGTCCTACCCTGGCGTGGGGTGGCTGAGAGTGGGTGGCATCTGAGAACAGCACACATTACACCCATTTTAGAGCTACTGGAGACTGAGGCGCCCGAAGTTAAGGGACTTGTCCCAGATGGCACCGCTTGGCATGGGCTGGGGCAGGATCTGGGCACCATAGACCTGGCTGGAGACATTAAGCGTTGAAAGCCAGGGCTGAAGGGGGGCCTGGCGAAGTCTTCACGCCCCCCTCCACCCTGGAGGAAGTTGAAACCGCTGGGGTCTGGTGACCCAGGCGGGGGAGGGAAACTTAAGGACAGGGAGGGAGGGAGAGCTCGGTCTCGTAATCGCTGGCCACTGACTCACTGGGGCCCTGAGCACAGCGCTTCCCCTCCCTGGGCCTGTGTCAGGGAAGGAGACGGGGCCTCGCTTTTTGGGGCTGCAGCCAGGCTGGGATGAGGTCATCCACGTGGGGAGCCTGGCACCGCTAGCGCTCATTAAATGCTGGTTGGCGTTATTAGAATCATTACCCTGTTATTATCGTTAAGACTAATTAATTGGCACTAATTCTGGCCCCTGACACCCCACTTGTTCCAGCTCAGACCACCCTCCCACCGCCGCCCCCACTCCACCAACCTCGCTCTCACCCCATCCCTCTCCGGCCTCCGAGGGGGTTCAGAAGGCTTCAGTCAGGCTAGAGCGGGACAGGCGAAGCCAGCGGCCTGAGTCGGGGAGCCACGGGCGTCGCCCCCGACCTGGCTCTGGGGGTCTTCCAAACCCTCCGCCTATCTGCGGGCGCTAGGACCCCGGAAACCCGCCGACGCCGGAGGGGAGGCCCGGCTAACCCGGAGGCCACGCCCTCGCCTTTCTGATTGGCCCACGCCTGCCGGCGCGTGGCTCGGATTGGTCGAGGCGGCCGCTGCTCCCCAGATTGCCCGCCGCCGCGCCCCGCCCGCGCCGCAGTCTCCCGGCGGCGGGATCTGGGGTCGCGGGAGCGCTGGAGAGCCGGGGGCGCGTCCTGCGGAAGGGCAGCTGCCAGGGACCGGGCCGGCGCGGACACCGCGGAGTGACCAGTCCGCCCGGGGTCTCCTTGGCCATCCCCAGACGGCCCGGCCTGGGGGTCCCCTTCCTAAGCCCGGGGCTGGCCCGTCCCCGGGGCGCGTTCCGAGCCAGGCGTCATGGGTCCTGGACCCCCGGCGGCCGCGGCGGCCACCCCGCAGGCGCTGCCCCTGGTGGCGCGGCTCAGCTACGCTGTGGGCCACTTCCTCAATGACCTGTGCGCGTCCATGTGGTTCACCTACCTGCTGCTCTACCTGCACTCGGTCCGCGCCTACAGCTCTCGCGGCGCCGGCCTGCTGCTGCTGCTCGGCCAGGTGGCCGACGGGCTGTGCACGCCCCTCGTGGGCTACGAGGCCGACCGCGCCGCCGGTTGTGTCCGCTGCGGCCCGCGCAAGGCTTGGCACCTGGTCGGTAAGCACCCCGACCCCTGCCAGCCCTAACCTAGACACACCCCTGTCTGTCTGTCTGCCTCAGAGCACCCAGTCTGTGATCCTCATGGCCTGAGCCTCGTCCCCCTTCTGTATGATGCACCATGGCTTGAGCCTACCCTCTCTGTCTGTCTCTCCCTATCCAGTGCCTCTCTCCCTGTTAGTCCCAGAGCCCAGCTTCCCCCTCTGTCTGTCTGTCCTAGAGCTACCTCCTCCTCCTTCTCCTCTGTCTGTCTGTCTGTTCATGACCTGAGTCAGCTGCCTGTCTCCGAGCCCCTTCTGTCTACTGATGGCCTGAGCCTCCTCCCTCTATCTGCCCCAGAGCTCCCTGTTTGTCAGCCTCATGGTCTGAGCCTGCCCTGTCCATCTGTCCTTAGCCTAAGCCCCCCTAAGCCCCATCCCCCACTGTCTGTCTGCCCATGGCTTGAGCTGCCCCACTCTCTCTGTCCCAGAACCCCTTCTGTCCACTGATGCCATGAGCCTCCCATCTCTGTCTCTCAGCCCAAGGCCAGACTCCTACTACCCACCCCCCACACACACACTGCTCCACCTGCCCTACCCTAGACTGCTGTCTGACCTGTCCAACTACTTCACCTGAATATCTGCCTCACCCGAAGGCATGTGGAACCTTCTGGTGGGTCTGAGCCAGCTGTCCAGGTCCTCCTCTGTCTGGCCTGGCCTGACTTCCTTATCTAACTGGCAGGGGGTAACCTGGACCACCTCTGTCTGTATCTGCCTGTCCCTCCCTCAGAGCAACCCCTAGCCCCATTGGGGTAATTTCCTTATGGGGTGGGAGTGGGGCTGCCGTCTGGGAAGCTGAGATTAGTGCCTGGGACTGTGTGTGTGTGTGTATGTGTCCTCTCTCACCTTCCACCTGTCCAACTGACCGGGTCTGTCGGACATAATGGGGTCCTAGTGCCCTAGGACTGTCACACTAGTGGTAGGTGGAGAGTGGGACAGCGGGGAGTGGGAGGAGGGTGGTTCCCTAGTACACACTGATAAAACCTGTTACTTCGCCTCCCACCCCACCCAGGCTGGGGCTGAAGATTAACCCCAGCCACTAGCACCCGCCGAGCTCCCTGGGCTGAGCTGCCACCCACGCCGGGCATTCTGAACATGGTAGGAATCTTGCCCACTTGGAGAATTCTGGCCGCTAGCCCTCTGTCCTTGGGGGCAAGGATCAAGGGGCCGCACTGTGGCCTCCTGAAAGTGTGGTACAAACTGTAGCAGATCCCTGGGGCCCTGAGAGGCCACAGGTCTGCTCCTGGGTCATGTGAGGCCATGACAGCCAGGGAGGGGGCTGGGAGAGGCAGGGCGTGGGCCTGGGGCCGGACACTGCCCATCTGAGAGAAGCACATCCCAGCCCTCTTGAGGGCCTCAAGGACAACTGTATTCCTTAACGGTGGGAGGAGTTCCAGGGACAAGAAGCCCTGGTAAAGCACCAGGTCCGTAAAGGTTCATCGTTTGAACCCACCCAGAGGATGACAGTCCTGGCGACCCGCACCTGTCAGATGACAGCCAGGAAACCCCATGGGGCATTTCTCCCCTGTCATGTGGGGTCCCCAGGGGTCAGAGTTCACTGCAGGGTCTCTAACCCAGGCAACCAAGCCATTGGTAAGCCGAGCAAAGACCTCTCCAGGGCAGGGACTCTTACTGTGCAGGTGGGGATGGGGCCCTTGGCAGGTGCAAAGGCCCTGAGGTGGGCCCTGAGGCCTGTGGCCCCAGCAGGGACCTGGGGAGGGCCGTGAAGATTGTTTGTTTGAGAGAGTGGGCCTGGGGCTCATACCTAGCTTCTGCCCTCTAGCCTCCCCCCTCTTCCTGCCCCCTCACCCATGCCATCCCAGCGGGCAGTGGGGAGGCCCAGGAGGGTCAGTGGAAAGAGGAAGCCAGTGCATCTGATAAGGTGACTTGAGGAAAGGTCTCCCCAGCAGTAGTACTCACTTCTCTATTTTACCCCCGAGTCTGTAAGGGCTAGGAGTGAAACAGCTGCCCAGAGGGCTGGGCCCCTGGACACAGAACCTCCTGTGGGATCCAGATGGTGAGACTAGGCTTCAGAAGGGAATCATGAACTCCGGAGGGACATTTCCATTGGGGTTTTGAAGGATGAATAGGAGTGTGTGTGTGTGTTGGCAAGGAGAGGGCATTCTGAGTAGTGAAACTGTGCAGAGGTGTGAACTATCAGGGCTGCTCTGAGTCGGAATTGATGTAGTGACAGGGAGTTTGGCTGGGTTTTGGTGAGGCTGGGAGATGCAGGAGCTTGAATGCATACCTGGACCCCTGCTCCTCCCCATGCCAGTCTGTGGAAACGGGGGTAGGCAGGGAGCCAAAGTCATCTGCCCAGGCTGGTCCAGCCGGGCTGCACCAATGGTTAACCCCCGCTGCCAGACAGCAACAGAGACTGACCACCATCCCAGAGCAGAGTCCACAGCTCCCGTGCCCCTGAGGCCTCCCTGCCTGGGGCCCCTGCAGCAGGCTGCAAGTTCCAGAGAAACAGGCCTGTGGGCTTACTTCTCAGTTCCTGCTCTGCCTCTGGGTGATGCGGTCACCACCTCCTGGGTAGGAAGTCCAGTGTCCGGGCTTCCAGGCAGGGTGCCCCCGCCTATGCCCTCTCTACCCCTACCAGGCTGGCTTCTCAGCTCCAAGGCTCATTCTCACCCACCTCATTCCCAGAGCCCAGGACCAAAACTCACAGGCTATTGATGTACTGGGGAAGTCCCCACCCCCAGGCCACCCCCACAGAACAGGGGAGGGGAGAGGCCAGCCGGAAGCAAGTGCATAAATAGAGAATTCCCCGAGCCTGCCAAGCCCCGGGAGGGCGGGAGTGCAGGGTCCTGGGTAGGGGTGTCTCCTGCCTGACTCACAGGGCTGTTCCACCAGCCACCAGGAGGGGCGCTGTTGGCCTCAGCCGGCAGAGCCAGTAGTCAGCAGGGAGGGCTTCTCAGAGGAGGTTATTTGCGACCTGAGGGAAGGAGGAGTCTGCCTTATTCAGGTGTGGGCACAACCTGTGCAGAGGTCCTGGGGGCAGGACAGACCAGGAGAGCTGGAGGAACAATGGGGAGGCCCACTGCGTGGTGTGGAGAGGAGGAGCGGTGGGGTGGGGAGGGGATCAGTAGGGGTGGCAGAGCTGGGGCGGGGGGTGTCAAGGCTAGACCTTGAGCTTGTTCTAAAGTACTGTGTTTCAGTTTTGTTTTGTTTCCTTCTGAGCACTTGGAGGGAAGTGCTACACCCCCGGACAGAGGTCAGTGGTAGCCTTGTCGTTTCAGCATTAGGGGCTAACCTCAAGATCGGTGGCTGGAATAGATTCCGACTCCTAGGATAGGGTAGAACCGACCCTGCGGGTTTCCGAGACGGTAACTCTTTACTGGAGTAGAAAGCCTTTTTCGTCTTTCTCCCACAGAGCAGCTGGTGGTTTAGAACTGCTGACCTTGCGGCTCACAGCCCAGTGCTGAACCACGACGCTACCCGGGTTCCTTATAAAGATTTACCGCCTCGGATGCCTTGGGGAGCAATTCCACTCTGTCCTACGGGGTCCCTGTGAGAGGAAACAACTCTAGGGCAGAGGGTCCCGTTTGGACTTCGAGTCCCCCGCGACGAAGACAGCACCCAAGGGAGAGGCCGACTCAGAGCTGACAGGTCCAGCCGGCCCCTCCCAGGCCTAGCTGCCAGCTGGGCGCCTGCTCTGGGTACAGGGAGTGGGGAACAAGGCCTTCCTGTGGGGCAAGCGAGAAGGGGTGTGGGTCCAGGCGCTGCCTCAGTTTCCCCTCTGTTGCTAAGGAGACAGCCTCCAGGGGCCCCAGGCTGGTGAGGGTCTTGTCATCAATTCCGACTCATCGTGACCCCAGGCACAAGAGGACGAACCACTGTGCCATCCTCACAGTTATTCTTATGTTTGAGCCCATTGTCACAACCAGGCCTTGCTCTTCTTCGCTGCCCCTCTACCGAGCATGCTGTCCTTCTCCAGGGACTGGTCTCTCCTGACGGCACGTCCAAAGTGTGTGAGACAAGTCTCACCATCCTTGCCGCTGAGGGGCATTCAGGCTGGACTTCTTCCACGACAGGTGTGTTGGTTCTTGTGGCCGCCCGTGGTCCTATCAGTGTTCTTCGCTAGCACCACACTTTAAATGCTCCGATGCTTCTACCGTCTGCCGTATTCAATGCCCAATGTCCACAGGGGGTGGTTGAAAATACCATGGCTCGGCTCAGGCCCAGCCCAGTGCTCAAAGTAACAGCCTTGCTTTTCAACACTTTAAAGAGGTCTTGTGCAGCAGACTTACCAAATGTAACGCGTGTTTTGATCTCTTGATCACGAGCATTGATTAGGGATCCAAGCAAGACAGAATCCTTGGCAACTTCACCCTTCTATCCATGCGGTTACCTATGGTTCAGGTGTGAGGATTTGGGTCTTCCTTACATTGAGTGGTCTTCCACACTGAAGGCTGTAATCCTTGAGCCTCACAAGCAAGTGCTTCTCGTCCTCCTCACTTGCAGCCAGCAAGGTTATAGCATCTGCATTTCGTAGTTTGTTACTAAGCCTTCCTCCGATCCTGATGCCACAGTCTTCATATAATCCAGCTTCTCTAATTACTGGCTCAGTGTACAGATTGAACAAGTATCGTGAGAGAAATACAACCCTGACGTCGCCCTTTTCTGATCCAGGTACAAATTCCTCACGAGCACTATGAAGTGTTCAGGAATTCCCATTCATTTCAAGGCTGTTCATAGTTTGTTATGATCCACACACTTGAATGCCTTGGCACAGTCAGTAAAATACAAGTAAACATCTTTCCGGTATTCTCTGCTTTCAGCCAAGATCCATCTGACATCAACAATGATATCCCTTGTTCCACATCCTCTTCTGAATCCGGCCTGAACCCCTGGCAGCTCCCTGTCAATGTGCTGCTGCCACCATTGTTGGGTGATCTTCAGCAAAATTTTACTTGCATGTGCTATTAATGATACTCTTCTACAATGTCCAAAATCTCTAAGCCACCTTTATCTGGAATGTATACATAAATGGATCTCTTCCAGTCAGTTGGCCAAGTAGCTGTCTTCCAAATTTCCTGGTATAGACGAGGAAGTGCTTCCAGTGCTTCATGAGCTTGCTGAAACATGTTAATAGGTGTTCCATCCATTCCTGGAGCCTTGTCTTTGGCTAGTGCTTTCAGTGCAGCTTGGACTTCTTCCTTCAGCACCATTGGTTCTTGCTCGTATGCTGCCTCCTGAAGCGCTTGGCATGTTCACTAGCTCTTTTCGGTACGGGGACTGTATTATTTCCATCTTCTTTTGATGATTCCTGCACCATACAATAGTTAGCCCATGGAATCTCTCAATATTGCAACTCGAGGCTTGAATTTTTTTCTTCCAGTCTCTAAGTTTAAGATATGCTGACCATGCGCTTCCTTTCTGGTTTTCTAACGATGGCCTTGCACATTTCATTATCACAGTTTACTCTGTCTTCTCGAGCTCTTTGACTTGATCATTTACTCTACGATTAAGAGTAAGTGTCAGCGTCTCTCCCGACATCCACTGTCGCCTTACCTTGTTTCCCATCTCTTTAGTGGCCTTTTGTTTTCTTCACGAATGATGATCTCGCTGTCCTCCCACAGCCCATCAGGTCTTGCGTCAGTCGTGTTCCGTGCAGCAAATCTGTTCTTGAAGTGCAGACGGGGTAGGCTCAAGGTCACCTTTTGCCTCTCGTGAACTTGTTCTAATTTTCTGCAGCTTCAACCTGAACTCACATAGGAGCAATTGATGGTCTGTTCCCCAGTCAGCCCCGGCCTGGTTTTAGCTGCTGCCATTGAGCTTCTGCATTGTCACTTTTCACAGATGGCATCAGCTTGGCTGCTGCGTATAACATCTGGAGAAGCCCACGTGTGTAGTCGCACCTTGTGTTGTTGAAGAATGGCATTTGCTACGAACGCGTTGTGGGTCTTGCAAACCATGATCAGCTTCCTTGCTGTCACGAGGTCACATTTTCCAGCGACTGCTCCTTCCTCTCTGTTTCCAGCTTCTGCATTCTAGTGGCCAATAATTATCGATGCATTTTGACTGCATGTTGGAGTCAATTCAGACTGGAGAGCTTGGTAAAATTCTTCAATTTCTCTATGCCTAGCTTTAGGGATCGGTAAGCTTTAATAAACATTGTAGTGATTGGATTTCCTTGAATGAAGATAGTTATAATCCTAGACAGATATAATCGTAGACAGCATTATACTTCAAGATAGATCTTGAGGTGTCTCTTGATGATGAACTTAAAGCCATTCCTCTTGAAGGTGTCATTCCGGGCATAGGAAACCATGCGATTTCCTGGCTCAAAATAGCCTGTCCATTCCAGTCCATTTCAGCTCCCTAAACACCTAGGATAGCGGTCTTTATTGCTCCATTTCATTTTTGACGATTTCCAATTTTCCTAGATTCATGCTTAGTACCTTCCAAGTTCCAAGTGCTAGGTATTTTGTGGCTGTTTCTTATTTTGAGTCGTGCCCCATCAGCAGTTGAAGGTCCTGAAGGCTTTATTCCATTCATTTCATGACGGCCGACTCCACTTTGAGAAGGCAGCTCTTCCTCAGGCCAACCTGAGCGTCTCATCTTGCTGGCACCGCCTGTGACAGAGTTCTGCGTCTCCTCATTAGGCCTCAGTATCTAGCTGACACTCTTTCATGCTAAATCCTCTGAAGCGGACAGCTGCTTCCGTCTTAGCAGTCTGTTCTCAGTCTGGAAGCTCTGCTGAAACCTGCTCACTTCGGATGACCCTGCTGGCGTTTGAAATACCAGGGTCAGAGCTTCCAGCACCCCAGCAGCACCCACGCCTCCGCAGTGTGACACACAGGTGAGGGCAGGCCAAATCCCCGCCCCGGCTGTCTCCCTGAGTCAACAACCTGGCTCATTGCGCCCTGTGAGCTGGCTCTTTGCCTCATTTCCCATCTGACAAGGGGCGTATACCCCAAAAGACCCTACGCCAGTACTTGGAGGCTCCATCTTTTAGCTCTATTGGCCCCGTGATCCCCAGAGAGATTCTACCCCTGCCTCCACCCCGCAAATCCTCTGAGTCTGTTTCTCCATCTGACACAAGGGGCGTGTTGTGCGTGGGGCACCCTTGATAAAATTCCGAGTCAAGGTAACTGGGTGGACAGAGAAGTAGCTGAGCTGTTGTCTGTATGGGAGCAGATCAGGTCTTTCTTCCACGGAGCCGCTGGTGGGGTTCGAACTGCCAACCTTTTGGTTATCAGCTGAGTGCTTACCGCTGTGCCACCAGGGCTCCTAATACAAGGCGTTTGTATCCCAATAGCCCCCCCTGGACCAGTGGGTGGAGGCACCGCCTCTGCAGGGTTTGGCTGCTTGCTCTCAGAAGGGGAAAAAAAAAATCCCTCGGTGCCTTAGTTTGCCCCAGATCCGTGGACACCGCACACGTGGCAAGCGCCCACCTGGGGTGTGAGTGCCGTCTCTGTGTGGCTCTGGGCAGTGTCTGGGCCTGTGGGGCCGCAGGGTCCCCGCTGGCAGTGACCCCTGTCTCTCCCCCCTCCCCACAGGCACCATCTGCGTCCTGCTGTCCTTCCCCTTCATCTTCAGCCCGTGCCCGGGCTGCGCGGCCTCCACGCCCGAGTGGGCTGCCCTGCTCTACTACAGCCCCTTCATCGTCATCTTCCAGTTCGGCTGGGCCGCCACGCAGATCGCGCACCTCAGCCTCATCCCGGAGCTCGTCAGCAACGACCACGAGAAGGTGGAGCTCACCGCTCTCAGGTACCGCCGCGCCGCGCCCACCGGCCTCCATCTGGGCTCAGTGGGCTGGCTCAGCCTGGGCGCCCAGGGGCGTACCGGGCAGCTGCTGCTGTGTAACGAAGCACCCCAAAGCTTAGCAGCACCCATAGATGGCCCCCCCAGCGCGGCCAGCCTGGGTCACCTGCTTCAGAGTCCGTCACCAGGCTGCAGGTTTGTGGGTTTGGGTGGGATCCATTTACCTTTGCCACGGAAGGTCACCTTATCACCGACAACACCCCGGGACCATTGTAGGCCCCGCCCGCGTGGGCGTGGCTTTTCCCCGGGGCGTGGCTTTGCCAGCCCCGCCCACCCACGCAGGAGCACAATTCCTATTGGTTTCTCCACCGAGTTACGCGAAGCGCTAAGGCGCCTCCTGCTGGATGGCACCGGAAGAAGAACATCTATGGAGCACTTCCGGGCCGTCCTGGGGCTGGAGGGGCGGGGGCTTGTCGTAGGGACTGCACTTTTTGCACAAGGAGGTTGGGGGCCACCCCGCGCCCACCGGTGCCAGGGACTGAGCTGGCGACAGCCCTGAGGCCCGCACGTACGCTGCGCCAAGCACCGTGCTAGACATCTGCTGCGAAGTAGCTCCAAATGGCGGTCACTGCCCTTAACTCCCAGGAGGGGACTGTCCCCCTGGGGATGAGGGAGGCAGGTCTCAAAAGAGTAGGTCTGTGGGGGAAGCGGAGTCACAGGGACAGGACAGTACCATGTGCCAAGGTGGCTGGCCCTCAGCCAGGTTGGGCTGCCAACCCGACAGGACCAGGCTCACTGTGGCCTGTGTGACAGTGCCAGCACCGTGGGTCCCTGCCCAGCCCCCACATCAGCCCTGTGGTCCGGGCCCTGCCTCTGAGTTCCCCATTGTGTCCCCAAAGGCCAGAGCACTAACGGTAGGGGTTGCTCAATGCCAGGGTGGCCCCTGGGGCCCAGAGACTGAGTCACCCTGAGGCTGAGCCCCTGGAGGGTGTCCCTCCTGGCCCGTGGGCAGGAGCCCACCTGGATGACTCTGGGTCATAGAGTTTGAGCTGCTAGAAGCCCAAGGTCTGGGAGTGGAGAATTCTCTGATCCAGGCTTCTGGCATTGACTCAGGAAGACCGTAGAATTGGTGCATTTGAGCGGTGGGGCTGAAAAGTACCACGGGCTGCCAACATGGCACAGTGATCTGGCCTGGAAGAAGGAAGGCCAGAGTGCTCCTCAGAGTCAAAGATGGCAAGACTTTGTCTTTTACATACTTTGGACATGTTGTCAGGAGAGATCAGTCCCGGAGAAGGAGAGCTGTTTGGTCTACTAGAGGGACGTCCAAAAAGAGGCAGGCCCTCAAGGAGATGGACGGACACAGTGGCTGCAACAGTGGGCTCAGGCACAGAACAACCGTGAGGATGGCGCAGAATCCTGCAGGATTTCGTTCTGTGGTGCACAGGGTCGCTATGGGTCGGAGCCGATTTAACGGCACCAGACAACAACAATAGGCTTCTGAGTGTCTTGGGATGCAGTGTCCCGTCCTGGCCCGCCCTCCCATACACACACACATCTCTCCCTCCTGATCTAGAGGGCAGAGTTGTGAATCTTCATGTTGTGTGCAGATTAGGGAAACCGAGGCATCAGGGCCTTCAAGGGCCCCAGTGAGTCGGCAACAAAATCACCAACCAGCCAGGGCCCCCCAATGCACAGCCCCTCTGACTGGGTCGCCTCCTGGGGAGCAGGTGGCCACGTGGTTTCCGGAGTGCGCTAGCTGAGGCTTCCCCCCTCTCCCGACAGGTATGCCTTCACCGTGGTAGCCAATATCACAGTCTATGGCGCCGCCTGGCTCCTGCTGCACCTGCAGGGCTCCATCCACGCCAGGTCCAACCAGGAATTCAGTGACCAGCTGGGTGTCCAGGATGTACCTGTCTTCCGGGTGAGCTGGGACCAGGGAAGGAACACCCCAAAGTCCCCACATGCAGGATTTGAGCCACCATTGACCCTCCTTTCCCCCACCCCTACTGGCTTCCCAGAATCTTTCCTTGCTGGTGGTGGGCATAGGAGCCATTTTCTCGCTGCTGTTCCACCTGGGCACCCGGGAGAGGCCCCGACCACGGCTGGAGGGGCACCAGCCACAGCCCGAGGAGCCGAATGAACAAAGCCCCCTATTGACCCCCACGGCCCGGCCTGTGCTGCTTTGGAAACACTGGCTTCGGGAACCAGCCTTTTATCAGGTACATAGTGGCAAGGGGGCCTGGAGTCCTGGCCACTCTTTTACTCTACAAGGTGTGGCTGCCAGGAAGCAGGCAAGGAATGCAAATATAGCTGTACCTGTGTCCCGCAGCCAGGGCAGACATTACTAATCGATGGTGTTAACATTCCTCTGCCTAGTCAACTAGGAAGTCATTGCTATGGATCCTGTGTTAGCTTAAAGCAACTTTTTTGCATTCAATCCCTGCCTTGCAGGGTTGCCCAGCCAGCCTCTCTTCTCTAGCGCCCTCTGCTGCTGGGAGTGGAGAAGCTCCTGCTCTGCTGGTGAAAGCTGAGAAGCCCCTCACCTCCCTGCACAGCGCCCTCTGCTGGCCCTGGCCACACTCCACAATGCCCTCTTGCTGGTGGGAAAGAAGTGCCTGGCTTCTGATTCTAATCTCCCTCTACAGCGGCCCCTGCTGGTGGGAGTGGAGAAGGCCCCACCCCTTTCTGGTCATAGCCCCGCCCCCTTCACAGCACCCTCTGCTAGGGAAAGTAGAGAAGGGCCCTGTCTCCATTTCATCCATGGGTGGTGTCTGTCTCTTTCCCCAAGGTGGGCCTGCTGTATATGAGCACCAGGCTCATTGTGAACCTGTCCCAGACTTACATAGCCATGTACCTCACCTACTCCCTCAACCTGCCAAAGGTGAGCCCGGTGGGGTCAGCGCAGCGGGGTGGGAGGCTCCTGCCCTGTCAGCCTGCTATAGCACCCGCCTGGCTCTCTCCCGACAGCGGTTCATCGCGACCATCCCCCTGGTGATGTACGTGAGTGGGTTTGCCTCCTCCTTCCTCATGAAGCCCGTCAACAGAGCCATCGGGAGGAATGTGAGTGCAGCCCGAGGGGAGGGAGCCAGGGTGGCAGGGTCCGGGAACCCTGCAGTCCGGAGCCCACCAGAGTCAGAAAAGGGATGCAGAGACGAGGGGCACAAGCCAGGAGCCTACCAAGAGATGGTGGATCCAGCGACCAGACCTAATGCCCTGGGGACCCAGCACAGTGGGCTTCACCCCCACAATCAGGAACCCACTGGAGGCAGAGCTGTGATCTGGAACCCTGTGGCCCTAGACTCTCCTGGGAGTCAGCGTTCTCACTGTTCAGAAGCCCTAGCCCCTGGGAGCCAAGGATTCAGGAAGGCCAGGGGCCCTCCAGGTTCTGGAACTGCAGAGTTCTAGAACTTTCTAGAAAGAAGGGCCCATTCTAAGCTGTTCACTGTGGAAGACACCTGAAGTGTAGCTTCTGGGACAGGGTCCCGAGCTCCCCCCCTTTCATTCCTTAGTCAAGGGAGGAGCCTGGTGGCACAGTGGTTAAAACACTCAGCAGCTGTAGCTTCTGTAAAAATGTCCCCTTTGGAGACCCCATGGGGCAGGTCTACTCTGGGGGCCTTATGAGTCAGCGTTCATTCCCAAGGACCCGCGGGCCGGAGGGCAGGGAGAGGGTAAATAGTAGCTACCAGACTGGCAGCGCCATCGAGGAGGCTGGTCCCCAGCGGCACTGATAAACTCCCACTCTCTCCATCTTGGAATTCCACATGTCCAGGGCTGGGGGGTCCTAAAAGGGTGCACAGCCCAGCGCCTCCTCTGCCGGTGGGGGTAGGGGAGCAGCGGGGTAGGGGGGAGGGGATGATGGTCGTCCTGATGCTGAGCTGGTCTCCCTGCAGCTGACCTACTTCGCCGGCCTCCTGGTGATCCTGGCCTTTGCGGCCTGGGTGGCGCTGGCCAGTGGGATGGGCATGACCGTGTATGCAGTGGCTGTGCTGCTGGGCGCCGGCTGCGCCACCATCCTCATCACCTCACTGGCCATGACAGCAGACCTCATCGGCCCCCACACGGTAGGGCTGAGGGCAGGGTCTGGTGGGTGTGGTCCCCAGGGTGTCCATGGGCACCCACCACCCTGCCCGTGTCCCCACAGCACAGTGGAGCCTTCGTGTATGGTGCCATGAGCTTCTCGGACAAGGTGTCCAACGGACTGGCGGTCATGGCCATCCAGAGTCTGTCTCCCTGCGCGTAAGTGCCCGCCCTGGTGGCCACCCCTCACTGAATCTTTCCTGAGCCAGCTCCGCCATTTCATCCATCGTCCATTCATCTGTTGCTTCATCTGTCTGCCCATGCATTCACATGCCCACTCGTCTCTTCACACATCCATTCATGACGTCATACGTATCTTCATATGTCCATCCATGACATCATATGTCTCTTCGTACATTCATGATGTCATACATTTCTGCATATTCCTTTCTTCATTCACTTATTTGTTTCATCATCCAGCAGTTCCTTTGTTCTTTGTTCACCATTTGCTCGTTCGTCATTAACAAATTCATTTGTTCATCCACCGATCAATCCATCTACTCACTCAGTCAGCCATCTACCCACTCACCCATCCACTCACTCGGCCAGCCACCTCCCATCTACCCACCCACTCCCCCATCTACCCATCTATGCATCCACCCATCCATCTTCCATCTGTCCGTCCACGCACCCATTCACATATCCACCCATCCATTCATCCATCCATCTAGCCATCCATCCACCCATTCATCCATCTATCTAGCTATCCACCCATCCACCTACCCATTCATCCATCCATCTAGCCATCCACCCATTCATCCATCCATTCACTCATCTACCCATCCATGCACTCATGCATATCTACCAGTTCATCCGTGCAACAGTCCATCCATCCATCCAGCCACCCATCCCATTCATCCATCCATCATTCCTCCTCCATCTATTCACATCCATCCACCCATCTATCCATCCCCTCATCCTCCATCCATGCATCTCTCCTCCATCCACCCCCAACCCATCCTCCATGCACTCATCCATCTGGCCACCATCTCATCCACCCATCCATGCATCCCTCCTCCATCCAACCACCTATCCACACATGCACCCTTCTACCGGTCCACCCACCCATCTCCCATGCACCCATGCATTCCCTCCACCTGCCCACCCACCCTTATCCAACCGTTTGCCCATCCACTCATCAGTAGGAATTTATTGGCACCTGCTGTGCCCGGCTCTGCTCTAGGGCCGGAGACAGCTGTGGACAGAAGGTCCTGGCCCTACGAGGGCTCACAGCCTGGCTCGCGTGGCCCGGGAGACCTGGTCACTGGTCACCTCAGACAGTGTGTCTATTCATTCAGCAAATGTGTGTGCAGGCATGGAGGGTGCAGTGTATGCAAGGGGACGCAGAGGGACTGGGTGGAGGCTGAGACCCATGGAGCTGGTGCCTTGCAGAACCCCAGGTGGGAAAGGCAGGCTTTCCTCAGGATCTGGGGGAGGGACCAGCCCCCCACACAATCGCATGGCAGTGTGTCACGGAAGCTGTGTCGTCAGGAAGGCACCCCTGACTGGGGCCTGATGCGGGTGGGGAGTCGAGAGGACTTTCCTGGGAGGTGACTGCAGAGCTGAGACCAGCAGGGTCAAGAGGAGTTTTAGGCAAATGAGAAGCCGCTGTGCAAAGCCCCTGGGGCAGGACTGAGCCTGGCCAGTTGGAAGAACAGCTAAGGGCAAGGGGAAGGGAGGAGGAGGAAAGAGCAGGGAAGGGTGGGGCATGGCGGACAGGGTCCAGTGGGCTGCAGGGGGGGGGACTCTGGCTTTGACCTGAGGGAGGTGAGAACCCTCCTGGAGCGCTGTGAGCAGAGGGGGTGGGTCCCTGGCTCAGGTGCTCACAGGCATCCTCTGGAGCCCATGGGAAGAACAGGGAGCAAGGGCAGAGCCGGGACCAGAGGGAAGCAACCAACAGGACAGGGGCTAAGGCCGAGCCGGCCCATCCATTGGAGGGTGGGATGGGGCTGGGGGGAGAGGGGAGTCGCTGGGGGTGTCCCCACCAGCC